GGACTTCAACTCCCAGAATTCCCCAGCCAGCATGTTGGCTGGGGAATTCTGGGAGTTGAAGCCCACACATCTTCAAGTTGCCATGGTAAAAAACACTGGTTTAGTTGATTCATGCATTGAGCAGAAAGTTGGACTTGATGGCCTACATGGTCTCTTCCAGCTCCGACTGTTAGTTTGAGTCTGGCTTTAATTTTAAGAAATTGCCAGTGCAAAATTACACAACTACATAGCAAGTGAAACTGGCGAAAATCTGCTTTTAACATTACATCAATATAATGGTATAATAATCATGTCCATTAGAGGTCAGTATTGCTTTATTTAATTCCTTTCTTAAGAAAAGTCTGAAAACAGTTTCCTCCCCAGCTACTGCCATTTTAATGCAAAGATTCATGATGTTTTAAAGTTAAAAGCAGAATAAAAAACCCCCTCTTAAATTAAAGTTCAATTTTAAAAATTATAAAAATTGGAGGTGCTTTCCACCTGGAAATTTAATTGAAAGTTCCAAAGCATTTCACATAAAACAATATTCTAAAGCAAAATATCAAAACAACACTACAGAGGTTAGAGAAACGAATGTTCACTATGAACTGTTGCACCTATAATGAGACAGATCCTAACTAATGGTAAGATGCTGGTAATGGGACATAAGAAATCATTGTTACTTTCTACATCCGATTCCCATCACCACAGTAAAATCATTCTCCCTTCCTTACTTCTGACTAGGGCCAAGATAGGCATGTAGGAGGGCCATTTGGCCATCCATCACCCTATCGTGAGCTCCCAAAGAAGCCTGAAATCACATCACCTAAATATGGTAGCAAAATGGTTGATTTGAACATCACAATTGTTGCTTCCTTCAGGAAGGAGGCATTGTTAAGAGAAGGGAATATGAATGCAAAGATTCTGTTATGCATTTGCTCCTTTTCCCACTCCCCCCAAAATCATGTGAAAAATGGCCCCACTCCTTTCGGTGAGATCCCCATGTCAGGAGCTTGGGTTAAAGGACATCACCACAAATGTAATGGGGAAGACTAACCAGATTCCATACTTATTCAAGCTCCTATACCAGCTTCAAATTCTGGTAATGATTCCTTGCAACCTAACAGCCTTAATCCAACTCTTTATGTCAGTAGTGACACACTATTTAATTATAGTTAAAAATGAAACTGAGATCATTATGAAGCTGTTTTGAAGGGCAGGTGGAAGCCTGCGGCTAAGAGATCAGCCTTTTTACATCTATACCTCCCTCTAAGCAAGAATTATGCAAGTTTTTTTTTGTAAATCAGTTTTTATAAGTCACTGTTCTACTTACATTCCCTTTTTCTTTGCATCTGTGTTAAATGGCACTTTATCACCTAATTCCAAAATCTTCTGACAGCAAGTCATCACCAGTTCATGGTCATGGAGATTATGTGCAAAATGTGTAAGTCTGGTCAATGTCTGAAGCTGTACAAGCGAGTCTGACCAACTGTACTCTAGAGCCATTTTTACCAACTACAAGTAAGTGGATAAAAATATATTCATGGATTGATAACATTAACATTTAGCACATCCAGTCTTAAATGATTTGTACCTTTTTGTAAAGAATGGCTTGGGAAAAGAGTTGATATTGATACACTAAGTGTGGCTGGCTTGGAAATCTGCATTGCAGATCACTGGCAATCCCATATAGCTGTGGGGTATAATTATAATAAACCAAAATATAAAATTAAGAGACAAGCCAAGTAAGTACTTGGAATATATCTCCTTTGGATTTTATTCCAGTTTTAAAGAGGGGAAAACATTTTCAGTTTCTGTTTTAAAAAAAAGAAAAGGTTCTGTATGTTCTTTGAAGAGGTTCAGAATATTGATAAAATGTAAAGCCCCACTCCTGATTATTTGAGTCACGGAAATAAGATTGTTAATCCCTTTGCAGAAGAGAAAAGAAAGAAGAAAAGGATAATACCCCTTTTCTACTACCCCACCTGGATGAGAGTATGTCTACAATCAGACTAAGGTTTTGATGATACCAAAGTTCAAGCACTGAAATCATGATATACATTTCATTAGAATCCTTATGGCCCAACCATATACTCTTTTCACTCAGATCTATTTTTCTTCCCCACCCTTCACCCTCGCTCTTTGTATTCCAAGAAAGCTCTGGCTAACTTGAACCACTGTCAGTGAAGTAGCAGTCTGATAAACTGAAGTTTAATCTTCCTTCGTGTATTTAACATGCCAGTTAAGTGCATTCTGTTAGTAGGCATGGTAAATATGCAGAAGAAGAATTATTGTTTTGGATGTGACACTGTGTTTCGCGTTTGATGTAGCCTTCTAACTAATCAATAAAAAGCTGCTACTGCTACTATTATTACTAAGGGAGGAGGAGAAAGGGGCAGAAGAAGAAGAAATATACATACATGAGGCAAACTGGGAAGAGAAAAGTCCATGAGGCCCAAACCATTGCATGAATACATTTCCAGGCCAATAAAAAATTTTGTCATGGGAGATGACCCATCATCATTACTCTGAATAGAAAGAAACATTGATTCCACAGATAACAAGGCATCATACTAAATAGGTATATACTTCACATTTATAGAACTCTGCAGGTTAATGACATAAACTCAGGTTCAACCTAGCTTCTATGACATGCTTCATAGAACAGTCTATCATGCAACTCAGTTTCAATCTGAAATGATACTATCCAAATGAAATTTACAAATACGTTTGCCTTTTGTGAGAACTATGCCTCAGATTCTGAAAAACAGTCCTTCTATAATAGGGATGGGCAATCTTTTTTTTTTTTTTTTTTGCTTTTTTAAAAATAATTTTTGGCACCTGAGTCACAGGGAGCATGGCATTAATATAATAATGCCTTGTTAGATTGGAGAGTGGATTTATTTTGCTTTCTTGATTTTATGAAGATCATATTGAGAAAAAATTGAGATAAGCCTGGTCGGAATCCTCAAGTTCACTGAGGTCCATATTGATCCATATGTGTGAAAATAGAACCAAGTCCAAGGTCTACTATCTATCTACATGAAATGAAATATCCCAAACTGGAGTTCTGTTTTTCAAACAGGTTCTTCCTTGTATTACAAGGATGAGCAATTTGATGCCCTCAAGCAGCATGAAATCCCCTTTTCCCTTTCTGCCCACCTTAATTTTAAAAATAGATGACACGGTTTCCTTCTGTTCTGAAATGGAAAACACACAAAAACATAGTGTATGCCCTTAAATCAGGCTTAAGATAATCTATACTACAAAGAACCTCCCCGCAACCCAAATAAGAAAGAAAGAAAATTAGGTAAGTTAGGGTTGGAAAGAAAATATATACTGCCTCTGTCTACTCTGCATCATCATCTGCCATCTTATATGTGACCCTCAGCCACCAAAATGCTGCCCTTCTATGCTATAGTAGAAAGAATTGATACCTCATCCTCAGATCCATGCCATCTCCCAATCTGATGCTGAAGTAATTGTTTGGCCTTTACCCAAGTTGCAATAACTTGTTGACGCATAGCAATAGGCACTGGCTCATCAGGCGCACTTCCATTAGGCAAACGCATAGCAAATTCGCAGACCTAAAAGAAATTATTTTACAAATGTCAATTTAAAAAACTAATGCAGAGGCATATTAACAAATTTGGGGGACTAGGAGGTGAAGGGGCCCCTGTTCTCCTGATAAAAAGCTGTTCCATCAAATGGACAAGCATGGTTGGATTTTGCCAATAAGTAGCAACATTTATTTATTTATTCATTTATCTATGTATTTATCCAATTTATATGGTACCCATCTCAACAACTGACTCTAGATGGCAAACAGAATTAAAATAAAAACAATTACAAACATTATAAAAATTAAAATAAAAAGCAGCCAAGAAACATGAAATCCAAATCACTTATACAAGCAAGAAGTGGGTCCCTGCACACACTCGGGGCCCCAGGCCTGGGCACAGAACCAGGCCTTTAGGGCTTTATGAAAGGCTAGCAGGATTGGGGCCATCTGATCTCTGGAGGGAAAATATTCCACAAGGTGGCACTATGGCAGAAAAGGCATGTCTTCTAGGCCCCACCAACTGGCATTCCTTTTGTTTATTTATTTATTAAATTTGTATGCCGCCCATCTCCCCCAGCGGGTGACTCAGGGCTTCCTTAGCTGACAAGACCCTCAGCAAGCCCATCCTGCTTGACTGGATTGTATAGAAACAACTGGGGAGAGATGGTCCCTCAAGTAACTTGGTCCTAAGCCACAAAGGGCTTTAAAGGTGATAACAAGCACCTTGAATTGCACCTGGAAGCACATTGGCAATCAATGCAGCTCACAGAGCAGTGGTGTTACATGTGCTGAATAACCAGCGCAATTTATTGCACATGCTGCTGCATTCTGCCCTAGTTGAAGCTTCTGAATGCTCTTCAAGGACAGCCCCATATAGAGGGCATTGCAGTAATCCAGACAAGAGGTCACAAGGGCATGAGTGACAGTGAGCAGGGCCTCCTGGTCGAGGAATGGGCACAGCTAACCCGCAATCTGAAGGTATGCAAAGGTCTCCTCAGGAGTTGTGAGTCCAGGAGGACCCCCAGATTATGCAGTGGGTCTGAGGCAGTGCACCCCATCCAACACCAAAGATGGGAGGTTCCTGGCACCAGACGGTCCAAACACCCAAAGCCACTCAGTCTTGCTTGGATTGAGCTGAAGCTCAAATTCTTACATTGGTAAGAAATATCTTCTTCATCTGGCCCTTTCCCCTGCTTCCAACAAAAATGTTTACACATTCCATGAAGGAAAGAATACACATTAATATTGTAGCTAGCCTCTACTGAGCTAGCAGTCAACCACATAGCTTCTCTCTACCCACGCAGGCTTAAGAAGGTGTCCAGTCATGTATAGCTTGTTCTTATATAGAACACCACTATGACAAAAAATATACCTCTACGGCTGCTTTAATATCAGGGATTCCAGCTGGATCCACAGATGTAATTAGGGCAGTGGCTGATTTATCATGTGCTTTTAAGGCAGGCTTTTTACGTTTGGTGGGTCCTTCCTCAATAACTTTCTTTTCATCGGGTTTGGAAATCATTTTTGGAATCCAAGGAAGAATCAGCCCTCTTGCCAGAGCATTACATAATGTTACCAAAACAGTAGTATTCCTGAAACAAAACAAAAAAGGAAGAGAAATTGTTCAAAGTTAGTATTACAGATCAGCGTTTTACTGTTCCAAATTATTAAGACTTGCACTCAGTAACACTGAACAAGCAGTAGATATGCTAATGGCATTAATTTATTTTGTTTAGGTAGATCCATCCTCAAAATACTAGTCTCTGAATGCTGTCTATTAGTACAGCCTTCCATTCCATAATCAGTGTATATATTTTCAGTTACGTGATTGTGTTCCAGTGCCATCATGTATGCCTGAGAGACCGAATATATTACCCACAGCTACAAAAAGAAAGAAGAAACTCCATCATGCAGAAATAAGTATAGACGATTTTCCAATTAAAAATAATATATTACAGCAAGAAGCAATTGATGAGAAAATTGTTCAGCTTATTATTTTAGCAAACTACCCTTTCTGTATGGTTCAGAACATTTCATCAACAAGGTTCAGTCACTGTGACAAGGATACAGTCCACCTGAAAGAGCAGATATTTCAGAGAAATTGTTGGATAAAGTATATATGAAAGAAACTAAGAAGTCAGCAAATAATTTAGAGAGGAAAATTATTATATTCAGTCTTGAAGGATGGACCAATATGTACAATGATTCTATCATATATGCTTTGTATTAAGAGAAGAAGGGAGCATCTTTTTTACCAAAACATTCTATCAGGAACTGCACACATTGGTAAATATTTATAAGAGACAGCAATAAACCCTTTTATAAAAATGTCGAAAGAATTCAAAATTACTACTATGCAGTTTTATCACAGATAATGCTGCAAACATATCCAGGCTCAGAAGAAATCAGGCAAGTGAAGAACTCTCCAAATTGTACATGGTTGTAGAGTCCATTTAACACACCTTCTAAGAAGAGACATTGCTCCAAAAACACTGCAGTAGACATTGCAAAGACCTCTCCTAATAACCACTTTGAAGCAGCTGCTCTGAATGTTTCATGGGAACCAAATTCACTTTCCCATGTGATATCCAATGGAACACATTAAATTGATGGTTTGAAGCCCTATATCAAGACTAGACTATTCTATGTGAACAAAACTGGAAAGAAATAGATGGAAATATCAGAGCCCAAGTTCTCAATACGTGTCCAAATAGAAACCTTTGATAATAACCTAAACGCATGTCTTTGGAACTGAACAACATGCAGAGCATTAAAGTTTTTTCTTACTTCTGATGCTGTTGATGTTTAGAACGAACAGAGCATGACACAAAAAAGAAAAACAGACAATGATAGAATTGCCAAGAACCCCTGTGGTCTGGGATGTATATTTATAAATTATTGTTGAAATATGACACATACAAACTAAAAATTGTATGGTAAAATGGATTGAAAATTTGAGAGAAGTAACTGCAGTGGACCAATGAGAAGAGCTATGGAAAAAAATCAATAAAATTTACCCCAAGCTACAATTTAAGGGAAAATTGATATAAAATGTTCTACAGATGGTATAGAACTCCATCTATGATTACTAAGATAGATAAAGCATAACAACAAATGTTAGAAATGCAAGAACAAAGAAGGAACATTTGACCAAATGTACTAGTCATGCAGAAAAATTCTAAAGTATTGGAAATAAAAACATTTTTTAAAAAATTAAAAATAAAATTGAACTGAAACCACAGACATTTCTCTTAAGCATAATTCTAGAAAACATAAATGAAAAATATTACAATTTACTAAGATACATGGTGACTGCAGCAAGAATAAACCTAGCATAAACCAACATTGGAAAAGAGATACCTTGCCTACAATTTCAGACTGTGAGTCTAAAACTGGGGAATATATTGCAATGGCAGAATTGACAGTATAGATCCTCAACAGAGGTTTTACTAAATTCAAGCAGGAATGGCTCCCTGATATACAATATATCACAATGGAAGGTAGATTTAGATATCTGGAATATGGTTTTTAGGACTCAAATAGAACTAACAACAGTTATTTAACAATTAGTTAAATGTTGGATGCAAAGTTCAAACAAATAGAAGGGAAGGGGAGAATGTATCATTAAAAAGTAATTTTTCACTATGTTTTTTTTTAAATTCAAATGCAGCAGTCTTGTTTTTTTGGGTGGGTATTATCTTGCTTCTCTTTTTTGCTTTCTTTGTACTTCAATATTGGCTTTTTTTCTACTGTTTTTCTATTTCAGTATATACATATGGAAAAAAGAACCCGTGTAGTGTAGGATAATGGTGTTGGACTTGCACTAAGGGCACCCAGGTTCTAGTCTACCCTCAGCCACAGCAGCTCACTAGGTAATGTTTGGCCAGGCACCTTCTCTCAGTCCTATCTTCCTCAAGGGTGGTTGCTATGGGGAAAAAAACAGGAGGCAAAAGCTAAGTACATTGATTTAATCACCTGTTCAAAATGTGAGATGTAAGTGGAACATATTAATAAACTATAGGCCCTAAAGAAATGAATGGAATAAACACCAAGTCCAATTCATTTTCTAGCTAATATTCTCAATTCTCAGGACAAGAGTCAGTCTTTCACTGGTGAAGAGGAAGAGCTGGCTATTACAAAGCATCCAGCAAGCATCCTTTATTGATATCAGGTAAAATCAATTTGCTGGTGGAATCAATAAACATTTGGATGCAGAGACACTGCATAGTAATTCAATTTTTTAACAGCAATTAAAGAGCAGTAGCATTTTGACTGAAATAGAGTATTTTCTTCCTTTTGAGTAATTAATTAGAAATTGGGAAATAATTTGGGGATTGAAAAATCAGGAAAACTCATCTTTCTTTTCCAGACTCTTAAGAAACAGAAAGACATTAGATGAAGATTGAATAAACTGTTTATAAATAAAACAGTTAATTAAAAAATACTTGGATTTCATCTTTACCTTACTTTGACCCTGTACACCTACCTAAATCTGCTCATATAGATAGCAAAATGGTGAGTGATTTATGCCCAAATTCTCTTAGCAAACTGGGATATAGCATTATTTAATGATATGCTCTATAAAATGAAGAAGATGGTTCTCCTCAGTCATCTTGAGCCAAGAGATCTACTCCAGCTCTACTCTTATGCATCTAACTGAAATCCTGGACAGAGAAGAGGGGTCAATGACTTTCTGCCAGATGATATAGAGTTATATTGAACCCTGATGCATTGTTATCTCAGCTAGAAGAAGTAATCAGTTTTGAATTAATGATGAAACAAATCTGGATGTTGTCATATTTGAGAAAACTAAAAAAATAAATTAATTAAAAACTCAAGCTCTTCAATTTGATAAAAATATGGAACCATGGAAGTCAATTATTATAATTTCTCATGAACCCAGAATTAAACCCTTAGAAGAAAAGGAACAATTTCATGATAAAATAATTACAAATCTGCAAACCAAACTATTTAAACTATATAAGTAGCTTAGCAGAAACAGCTTAACAAATAATTTACCTCTGGATTGGGTACAGCAGAAGCTTTTGTTAATTTACATAGAATAATGTATTCAGGATATTGGCTCACTGCCAGCCAATGAGATACTGGGTGCTTATAGATTAACAACAAGAGGCAATCTCTCATAGAGAACTACGCCTTTAATAGTTTTTTTAAATTCAGCACCAGAGTTTTACAACTTCCAAGACAAACTACCAGCTTGAAATATCCTGGAGGCAAAATAACGAGTTACCCAGATCTGCCTTTGCATGAGCTAAATTTAAGAAAAGACTTTGATTTGGGATGTATGCGGGCAAGAAATAAGATCGTATCCAACAATCTTCTATCTTTCTCTTGGAGAAGAGATGAAACATTTTACAAGTTCATCTTCTTCTGTGGTTCTCACAGACTCTGTGCTTATCAGATAAATAACAAACTTATCTTTTTTTCTTCTTTTTTTCTTTTAGCAGTTGTTGCTACTATATGAGTATAGAAGCTTACTTTTTGTTTTTATTTCCAGTGTTGGGAAGGGGGAAGAAGTAACCTAAATCAAACTGGTGGTTAAAAGTAGAGGGGTTTTTTTGTGGGTGGGTGGATTTAATGTTAGTACACTGGGTTGGATATTTTCTTTTTTACCACTTGTTTTAATTATTTTTAATTTAGATCCATATTCATTATTTAAATGCTTTCTGCTACTTGTTAAGCCTACTACAGCATGAGATGTAAAAAATGAAAAAAATATTTTGTCTACACGGAGGTATGGCACTTAAAGTAATCAGCTGGAATATAAACAGATTCAGATTGAAAAAAGAGGGACAAATTTGTAATGAGCTGGAAAAATTATAAGAAGATATAATGTTGCAAGAAACACATATTCCCTTGGCTTCTAAGGGGGCCTAAATGTCTATAAATATTGCAAATTAGCAGATGTATAAAAAGGGGAAGTCAGAAATCCAATACTGTAGCCCTTTTTAAATTTTACTTCTTCCTTTTTCTTTTTCTACTCTTTTGGTATTTAATTCTTGTTAAATTTGCTCATTTATCTATTTTTTTTCTTTCATTAGTGTGTGTGTGTGGGTATACATACACAATACAATGGAGATTTTAATGTTAAATAATCAGTTTAAGATTGAAACTTCTATTATACAACAAATACTTTGATGTGAGTCGTAGTGGTTCTTTTTTTAACGTTACACTCAACTTTGGATGAAAAAGCCAAATAATTTTATGTTTGTAATACTGACGTCCTAAATTTTAACTAATTAGCATAGAATATTTTTCTTTCTCTTCTCTCTTCTCAATACTCTTAGCTGTCTAAATATATGAATGTTAATAATATTTAATCATATTATATAAACTTCACTGTATTGAAACAACACAATGTATCAAGATTTGGGAGGGAAAAACAGAACTCTAAAAATTATTTATGCAAATTTATGTCTTAAATTTATTTGAATCATAATCAGACAAAATAACATATGGCATGAGAGGTCTGAGCAACTACAAATCTACATTATGCAGAAAAATTCAGTGTATCATCAGTCAGCAATTATAATAAATGACATTATTTCAAAATGGAGAACTATAAAGGCTTGCCTTAGTTACAAAAAGGTTGATCTGTTAATGTCATCTTCATATATCCAAAACCATAGAGGACTTGGAACTAAAAGGGAATGTTCTATTAGATTAAAAGGCCATTAAGGATTATGTGTTCTTATTATGAACCTTAAAAAGATCAAACATCCAACTAAACTCTTGTAGAACTTACCCAAAATTCCCAATATTCTTAACAGCACTGAAAAGAATTTGAAGGGAGTCAACAAGTTCTCTTTGCCTTTTTGAAATAATCAGATGTTTATTGTGATTTAACACATACACCACAGTGTTATGTACAATCCAGGCTTCATTTAACTCCTCTCCAATTTTGACAGCTCGTAGAAAGTTTTCCATAGCATATTGAGATAAGCCGTTTATCCAGTTGCTTAACAAGCAGGAACATGAATTATGAAATTGTCGAAAAGAAAAGGAAAAGAAAAAGAAGAATATCCATTGTATGTCTGGTCAGGACAATATCTGAAACATCATTATCTCTTCAATCTCTAAAACATAACTATTTTCAAATATTACCATAAAGTTCTTCTATAGACTAGCCTTAGAATTTCTGTTTCCCCAGTTGTCTTTTGGAGACCTTAAATATGTAACATTATGTTCTCCTACACTTACACACAATATAAATTTGCATGCATACATACATAACTATCCCCACTTTCATATATTATTAGTAGTTCATCTCATTTTTAAAAAATCATCCTTCACTGACACTTGCTTCTATCCTGCAAATACAGAAGTCAGTCAGTACCAGCTTACCTGATTAGATCTAACAGGGCAAAATTTTTATTGACATGACATTTTCAGAAGTTTTAAGAAGGCCCTGCTTTTCAGTTGCAGTGCCAATGCTGTTGAACCAGTCTTGCAGTAGAGATCAGGCTAGCCCTCCCTTTGTTGATGTATGGAAGTTATTAAAGATGGAGTTGTTGCAGAAAGCCTCACCCAATTTATTATTTTATTATGCCATATTTAACTTCTATTTTTATTGTTTGTATCTTTATGTTTGGGCGATCCTTTTAAAATTGTTTTTATGGAAGTTTCTACGGTCAATGTTTTAAATGGCTTTTATATTACATGTAAACTGCCACAAGTCTTTGATAGCAGTGGCATAGAATGATGAAACTAAATTCGCTACTTACTGTTCTAAGGTTCTCTTATAGAGTAATCTTACGAAATTTACTTAGAAATTAATCCCATAATAGATCATGGAACTTCAACCTTAATTTAGGGCTCCAGTTAGGGACTGCAATTGTCCTGGTAACCACTAGATGGCAGCAAACACTTTTTGCATCTTGTGGCTTAATATAATGTGTAAAGAAGCAACCCACATTACTGATTCTATCAAAATGCAAATAAATTTAACTAACTCACAAATGCCAAAGTTAGTGTCCTGCATACTTACTGGGTCCTGGCACTGGGAACGAATAATACCAATTTTGCAGGACCTGCAATGGTTGTTGATTGGCCTCTGGGTACAAATTAAGGTGTTGGTATCGACCTATAAAGCTCTATGTGGATTGGCACTTAGATACTTGCCGGACTGCCTCCTCCATCTAGAATCAGCCCAGCTCACTAGATCTTGTAGGGAGCAACTGTTTGTAGTCCCATATTTCCAGGATAGGGAGTGTGTGTGTGTGGGGTGTGTGGGTGGAAGGCTAAAAGTTGTTGCTCTGGAATGAGATCTCAACACAGATCAGATTCATTTTCTTCCCTGCTGTCTTTTAGGAAACTACCAAACTATTTCAGGGGTGTTCTCTTATTTTATTTTATATTTTACTTTTGTTTGTGCTTTTTTTTGTCTTAGTTGAGGATTCTATGGTATTTGGTTTTTTTTTAATTGTACAGTAGATGTTTATATTGCATATTATCCAAGTGGTAGATGTTTAATTGATAAATTATTTAATTGAAGCAGCAGTAATTTTGAATTCTGGCTTATTGGGATTAAGAATGGTGTCATAGAATGTGAGGTTGCTCTTGCTTTGCTCCTTCTACCAGCAAGAACATGTAAATAAACTGGAAAACTTAATACAATGAACCATTTAGCTAATCTTATATTTGATTGCATCTGTTTGGGTCCTGCTGATGGGAGCAGCTAAACAAACCAAGGAGCCTGCATAGGTGGATTATTTAATCTTACATCCAAATCAGGATCCCTAGCTCACTGCTGTCTTATTAAGCATGAATAAGAAGTCCAGGCTTGCTCTATGCCTCTTATTCTGGACTGTTAAGAGAACAGTGAACCAGAGACTTTGGTTTGGATGTAAGGCAGGAGAATCCCTGATATATTTTATTGCTCTGCTAGGAAAAAAAGCCAAGAAGTCACAGGAGTTCATTAAATTTACTCATTAAATTCAGTTTGGAAAGTGATGATTTGAAGAACATAAGCTTCACAATTATGAGAAACCTACTGGAAAATTAGATTTAATTGGACAATTACAGTGCTTTCCTGTCTTTCATTTTACCAATTGGGGAAATGCAAAAACTACTAAATATCTAGATTTGAGAAGAAATAGTATTGTTGCTAAAATTGATTCTGCAAAATAAGAGGGGGAAGAACACACCTATACTGATATTTCAGTCCAGGCACATTATCACTGCAATTCATATTCTGTATTTCAGATTTTAGTCTACACCAAAACATTGCAAACTTTAAAAGGCAAATGAAGATACATAAAATTCAAAATACCAATTATATATAAAACTGGTGTTAATTTTAAGAGATTAGTTCTTTGAAAGCATTAAAAAAACCAAAGCAGGTATCACTGCTTCAAAACAACCTGTATGTATTCCATTCTGATTCTTTTCCAATTTGTGTTGAATGTTGAATATATCCCATAGTGTGTGCACTTGCATCTAAAGGGAGGACAGGATAATCATTGAGCTGTACACCTTCTGTTCTTAATAACTGAATTGTAGCCTAAATATAGACATAAGGAGAAGAAAACAACCATCAATGCATTAGTATCATAAAAAAGATCAAAACTGCATAAAGTTCTTAGTGGTAGACACAGATTATTCTTCCCAAGTACAGGTATGCTTATCCAGCTCTGTTTTCTTATTATGCACAGGTGGCACAGCTAAAGCTGGATGCTCACGTCTCTCCTCTTTTTCATTGCCTATGGGGAAAAAGCTTCCATGTTTAATTTTAAATTAGCCACTGCTCCCAGCAATATTCACTCTGAGTCTGGGGGTTCTGATTTATTTTATTTCAATTAGTGAATAATTCAGGATCTAAAATCACTATTTAATCCTAAACACTTGAGTTTCAACAAATCGTTTCCTCATATTCACACATTATGGAGAACCAAACTGGTTGAAAAGCAAAAATGAAAGTTATTTCAATAAGGAAGATATATCCATTATATTTGAATTAAGTCTATATCTATGACAAAATAAGAATTTTAGTCTTTGTTTCTTAATATAAAGTGCAACAGAAGCTTAATTTCAGCTGTCTCTGTTATAATGGCTCTTATGGAGACTGCATAGTAACAGAACTTGCATCCTACAGATATTGGTATGTAACTCTCCACATCCTTTGTTGCTGGTGATGTTGAATGGGGCTTCTAAGGGCTGAGGTGCAGCAAAATCTGACTCCATATTCCTGCTTTTCACACTGGAAGAGATTTTTCCCTGTATGCAGAACATGGAAAGTTCTATGAAGATGTTAACCTTTCAACTCTCCTATATTAAGACTGAAAACAGACAGTTTGAAAAACGCGATCCCCATGAAAGAGTAGTTAATGAGAAATAACAAGAAATCTAACTAGTATAATGTATTCATTTCAGAACTAGATGCATACAGGAGATGAACATCATAAGCATAATTTTTTACTATTGGCCAGTGTTTCTTATAGTCCCCTTTCCCATAAAAACCCATATGTAAGCAAGCTAGAATAATGAAGATCAGTATCCCATACCAAGTACAGAAAAGGATTTTAAAATTATCTCACAGCTGTATAATTTACTAACCTCTGCATTAATGCATCTTACTTCTGCTAAAGTTCTAAGTAGATCTCTTTCTAAAGAGAATACTTTAGCAGGCATAGGCGACTCTCTTAATATACTTCCTTCATGCTCTTCACCTGTTGTGGTTATACTAGCTTTCTTCTTGACTACTAAAAGAAAAGTAAAATGCATTAGTTTAACAACATTTATGTGTGACCATTTATGTGAAACTCTTAAAATTTAGGGATTCTTTAGAAGTTCAAGACTGGCTAACTAGAATTTGAAAGGTACAGTGGTACCTCGGGTCATGAACTTAATTCGTTCCGCGACTCTGGTCGCGACCCGAATCAAATTTTCCATAAGGTTCAATGTAAATACGGTTAATCCATTCTGACCCCTACGAATTTGGTCGCCAACCAATTTTGGTCGCAAAATGAATCAAATTTTACCATAAGGTTCAATGTAAATACGGTTAATCCATTCTGACCCCTACGAATTTGGTCGCCAACCAATTTTGGTCGCAAAATGAATCAAATTTTACCATAAGGTTCAATGTAAATACGGTTAATCCATTCTGAACCATATGTATTTTTTTTTTAAACCACAAAAATATGAAACAAAGTACAGTACAGTACAGTATGAAGAGAGAGAACACACTTGCTTGAGGCGACTTCTGGA